TCGTGCTATCGCATTGCGAATCATGCTCATCTCTAGCTCAGATTGCAACTGTAAAGCAAGTACCGTTGTTTTAGTTGTCGCTTCCCTTTGCTTGCCTCCCTCACTCGCACTCTCACTCATTTGGATGTTTGCTTTGGCCAACATTCTCTCCACTCATTTACGCAAATTTCACACTAAGTACTTTAGCAGTGGGCACTTTGCATTGCTGCTATAAGCTGCAGTCGGCAATCGGCTGAGCGGAAAGAGTTCGGTTTGCTGAAGTAGCAGCAAACTGTAAGCTGAAACTGTTTCCCCATATATGTGTGTGTGTGTGTGAGTGCGAATGCGAGAGTGAGTGAGTATGCTTGTATGTCTGTGCGTCAGCTTGCAGTTGGATTCAAATTGGACACCATATTAGCTAAGTGGACCACTTTGCCTAAAGGCTTCAAATTGATATTTAAAGCGGCATTTGAATGGGAACAGTTTGAGCTTAGAAAATATAAATGAAGGATTTTTTAAAGGATGATTAGTATTTAAGCTTAAATACTTATATGTACTTAGATTTGAGAGTAAAATTAAATATGTGATAATTATTTTATTTGTATCATAAATTGAAGCAAGCTAAGCTAACTAACTTTAACTTTTATTAAGCACAAACCCTCTCACCTCACTTATATAAGTCAACGACATTGAAGGGCATTTATCTATGTAGATAAACAAAATACAATGCAGAGCTAATAATTGTTATTGGACTAATTTAATTCAAGGATATCGAGGATATAGAAAGTGTTCAATATTTTTGTTAGACCCACATTTACTTTGTACTCAGTTCTTTTGTCTAGACACTTGTCGCAACAGTCGCTTCGGACACACACACATGCACAAACTTTATTCTCGCACAAAATCAACAATGGCTAGTTGAGTGCATCTGCAGGTGTCGGAGGTGTGGCCGAGGCACAGATCCACTTGAATTGTCGTTACGACCTCGTTGTTTGGGTTTGTTGTCCTCCGGCACAAAAGTTTCTGAATCAGTTCAGGAATAGGAATAGGAACAGTCGTAAGTGGCAAGTAATAGTCCGCTAAGTGAACCGTATGTATATTGTTTGCATAAACTAGCTGTGCCAATGTCCTGTTGCCCCCTGGCTAAGTTTGGAGCGAGCTTTGCAAAGGACAGCCAGAGGCACTATCGAGCACATGTGGCGAACGCATTATGCAAATGTTATTGACATTTTCGACTCGTTACGAATCTTCAACAGGTCAAATGAAATAATGCAAAAGGTATTTGTGAGATGTCCTAAATATCCTTCAAACACACATGTGTGTGTGTGCGCGTTATACAACTCTGCTGGTTGCTGGCCACATTTCCATAAGCCGCTACTCATCGCTCAGTGTTAAAGTTCAGTTCCGTCTTGAGATATTTTCTTCAGCTGCAAAACCTGTTTACATAATTCCTGTCAGCTCAGCAATCGCCGTGCTCATATTTGCGTTTTCTTACACAATTTATGTGTGCAACTCCAGCTGTCAATGTACACAATTTCCATCTCATTTCCCCCCACCTACCTCTCCCTTTGCCCCACTTGCTTCAAACTCTCCCCTTGCAATTTCGCTAATGAAATGTATCTTCACCTTTTGGCTCTAAGCGCGTATGACAAGGTTATTAATTACGTTTATTGCGTATTGCTTGACTTCTTCCTTAGCTGCCGTTGCCATCGATCAAAAATGTTGAAAAATTCATTTTTATGAATTCTTGCGAAAGTGTCAATAAGCTAAACACACTTTGCCATAAATAACAACAAGTGTTACACACACATGTGTGTGTGTGTGTTTGCGTGTGTCTGTGTCTGTGAATACCTAAGCTACTTAAGCCTCTACTTATTATAATCTGGTTATCTATATCAAGGCGTCTCTCTGAGGCTCTCAACATACTTAAATATGCCTTATTAAGTGCCCTTAGCGAGTGTCTAACCGCAGCTTAAAGGGAAAGGCCAAGAGCTGCCAGAACACATAATCAAATTAAATGTAATTATACACTACAGTAGTCACTCGAACTTGAGACTGAGCTTAGAATTTAAAATAGAAACTTGAAAAAAAAGTTTAACAAATCAAGTTATTTCAATTATTAAGAAAGAAAAGAAAACAAAAAAAAAAAAGGAAATATAATAAATATTAATGCAATTTTTTAAATTTAAACAAAAAATTAAAATACGAATAAATATTAAAACATTTTTCTTTAAAAAGGATTATATTTTATTTTTGTTATTAAAACACCAAACATAAATAAGAAACACAAAAGAGACAAGTCATTAAAACATAAATTATATTAAAAGCATTTTAAACTTTTTTTCTTTTTATGATAATGCAACATGCAAATGAGTAAAGCTCACTCAGGTGCGTAAAGCAGCTCAAAGGTGAAGCAGGTAGAATTAATGATTCTACTGAAATATGCAAACATAAATGAAATTTTAATGTGAGTTATAAAAAATATATAAAAAAGTTTTAATCTATAATTTCAATTTATATAATAATTTTTATTTTTACATAATATGATGAATATGATTTTTATATGATATGATAAATTATAAATTAAATATATTATGTTTATATAAAAATATTAAACAAAATTAAGAATAAAACCTATAAGAAATGGCAATAACAACTATAGTCAAGTTTAGTCAGAGACAAGCTCCCAGAGTCTGAGGTCTTGATCGTAAATAAGCAGTAAAAAAAATGTGTTTCTTGCTCTGATGTTGCTTAACCCAAATCAATGTTAATTGATGAGCAATGTGAATTTGATTTATTTTGATTACTTTGACTTATTGCCAGCCGTAACTGATATGTATTTTATTTTAATATATTTATATATTCAAAACTCATTCTGATCATGAAAGTGTGTGTTTTCCCATGCGTTCATTATGTTTCTTTTTCATTAATCTGCATGAGTGTCGGTTATTTTTTCGCTTTGTTCGTTTTGTAGCTACAAATCGATAGCTTAATTAAGCGTGAGCATTTCTCGGGCTTTTATTAATAGGTTTTTTGCCTTGGTTTGCAGCTGAAGCCCGGTTAGCTGAACTCCTCGATTGGGCCATCCACGGGTCCACAGGTCAATTAGTCAAAAAGGCTGCCAAGCGAAATGCTGTTCGCTTTAGTGTTCCGCATCCTGCTGTGGCCAGATTGCCAGATTGCCAGACCGTGGCCAATCAATGTCAATATATAGATGAACACATATATAATATAAATATATTTGATATCTGCTTAGTTAAATGTGCCTTAAAGCTCTAAAAATTGACACATGTCTTTGGCCATCCAATTTATGCGCCGCCTTCAGGCATTCAAAATGTGGAAGGTTAAAGTTAAAAATATGTGCCTTTAATATTGGGGGGTGGCGAGCGTTTAAGAATATACCTCCAAGCAGTGGCAGGCAGGTGCAAACGTTTTAGATTACAAATTTCATTCGATTTGCTGGCGCAACGAGCGAGCGAGCGAACGAGCGAACGCTCGAAAGTATGCAACAAGTTTTTGCTATTTTTTTGGCTTTGCTGCAAAAGCCCTCAAGGAGTCAAATTTTGAGATTCTTCACCATAAACTATGCTCAAGTTTATCTTGGCTGAAGTTCATCATCGAGTTGGATGCTGTGTTTTTTCTTTGCAATTACAAATTACGCATACGCCATGGCTGACGGCAGCTGATGACAGGACTGGGCGCTCGAAGCTGAAAATTACAAGCAGAGTGCATAAAGCTGCTGACACATTGCATGCCACGCCCACTTAAAAGTGGCAAGCCATCATGTTAGTGTGTGCGTGTGGGTGAGTGCCAGTGCTCAGGTTGATGCGAATGAGTTTCCATTATGAGCTTAGCCACGTGTCTCGCTGTGAGCAGTTGCATGTTTGTTGACATCCTTTTAGGACTCGTCATAATAATAATAAAATGTTGCTGCCACACACACACACACATACATTCACACCCTCATTTTGATGTGAGTGCAGCACAGCGGTAACAATGGCAATTGTCTTGAGTTGACACCAATAACAGAGCTCGGCACAGTTGAAGCTCGCGTGTTGCGCTTTCTATGCGCACCTTTTGGGGTTTCTAGGGGCCTTCAGAACTGCTACAGTTAAAAGCAGCTGTTGACTTAAAAAACTGCCTTAAATCAGGTAAACAACTAAAGTAGCAAACTGGAAAAAGTAAGCTAAGATTTTCAGACTATTTCCTAAGAACTAGGATTATCTTGGAAATTCGAATTAATTCATTTTTAATTAAATAATATTTAATAATAATTAAGAGTTAAAATAAAAAACTTGTATGAAAGAACTTGTATAAAATTAAAGGAATAAAGAGTTTAGCCCAAAAGCTAGATTGATTTTAATAATTTAAAAATAAATATATTATTATCAAATTTATTTTAAGCTGTTTGTTTTATTTTTTTATATATTTCATTTATTTAAATTTATTAAATAAATTTTAAGTATTTTCAGAATTTTTAAAGAAATAATCTCATCACATATTTCTTGCCTTCGACAAATGCCCCTCAAGTGCTAATATGCTCCTTTGTGTGCACCGCTCCCAAGCCCAAAAACCATAAACTGAAAAACAATGCAAATGCAGATACGAGTGCACAGAGCATGTATGTGTGCACACACACAAGTGCTTGTGCACGTATTTGCTCACAATGAGCATGCGAAAGCGACCCAAAAAAACAAAAAGCTTTCTGCCTGATGGAGCTGAATAAAAGATAGCGAATAATTTGTCATAGTTCGCAATGGTGCACGACCCATTAGTTGGGGATAGAATTTTCAGTTTTTAAATGATGCCAAAATGAATTTAAATTTTGAGCTCTTTGAGCTGTGCCATTGACGGCTGCAGCTAATCAATTCCACTCTTGCCTTGACTTCGGCAAGGCCAATCAATCAATTTGGCTTATCCAATTTCAATTACCAGATTTCCGTTCGACTTGACCACTGGCAAATTTGGGCCAATTAGCCAGCCAAAGCGAGAAATTATGATATAATATTTTAGAGACTTACCACAAACAGAGAGAGAGAGAACTGCAAACATAGGAAAAGAAATTCGATTAGTATCAAGTGATGCACGATATTTATAAAAAGTAATAAAATTTTAGTTAAAGCTTATTTTTTAGTTGCAAAAATTAATAAAAATTTCTTAACACAATATAGAATCATCAAAGAGCATTTAAGTTAAAACTAATTTTTTTAAATTTTTAAATTAACAGAGTTTTGTTTTCAAAATTGCACTGAAAAGTATTTTTAAAAAAATCTTTAAATTGTATATAAAGTATTACAAAGGAGAAACTAATGTTATGTATTAAAAAAAGAAATTAATAAGCTTGACTGCATTTAATATCAAAGAATTTACATATGTTAAAAAAAGTTTTATTCTGTAAAATCCCCATAAAAAATTTCGATTTGAGCTTCAGATCTTATGTTAACAAAAATTATTTAGAAAATTTACAATGAATGCTTAAGCCACAAAGCAGTTCTGAAATTTCTGTGTGGGTCAGATGCAAAGTCTACATACTAAATTAAAACTGTCAGCATTGAAAATTTCTTAGAATACAATAAAATTGCTAAAATCCTTTGCTTTTTAGTCAGAGCAACTATTCTATGTGTGCGCCATAAATAGCAGCCAATTAGCAGTTACGAAAAACAAAAAGAAATAGTATAAATAGCTTAGATACACCCCCACACACAGAGATGAACTATAGAAAATAAAAGGCACATCTGCATTTCGTGCTGGAAAATGGGAAAAGCTCGCATTTATGCGCTGCACAGTAAAGGCTTTTGCATGTTGCCTGGTTACTTCTCCCTCTGTGTGTGTGTGTGTGGGTAGGTTTTTTAGCTGTTGCCCCTGACTTGTTAAAGGACACTCCAAAGTCAGTGAATCAGCGCCTGCAGTCAACCAAAACACCATCGACGCTTGTTTACTTAAAGTTTTCATTTTGAACGCATTTTGCATTTTGCAGCAGGGACTACCCCTAATGGCTGCACTGACAGGCAGCGCCTCTTAAAATATGCAATTTAAAACCCATTTCAAAGACTCACTCCATGGCGATTATTGATGAGCAGAGCAAAGCAAAGCTCAAACAGCTCAACAGTGCATAATTAACTTTGAGCGCTGGTTCACATAGCTTTAAATATATAATTAACTAATTCTTTACAGTGCGCATTAATTTGAAGTACAAGCTCCAGACTTTAAATTTTTTACAAATTCCGATTCTAATCATTGTAAAAATTAAATAAATTATATAATTATGTAGATTCTTTATTTATTTTCATTATTTTATCAAAAATATATTTTAAAAACTTTAAGCATTTCTTTGAGGCTAGTTTCAAATTGATTCAATTTAATTTAGTTTCTCTTAACCTATTTACTTTTGTAAATAAATTTTAATTTCTAAAAATTCAAATGGAAGGTATACAATTTTTCTGATCCATAACAATTCTAATTCGCTTAATCAATATTTATTTGAAAATCGAAAAATATTTGATAGTCAACATTTTGGCTAAGAAATCGTAATTCTTAAACACTTAAAAAAACTACTTAAAATATATATGTATATTTTCTTATTGTTTACTAAGTAGATTTCAATTTAGACCACAGAGTATAACTTACTCTAAGCTCAAACACACTACCCATAATTGACCACTTAATTGGCCAATTGTAAATCGTCAATATTAGGCGCATAGTCAAACAGCGAAAATGTTGGTTAACCGAATCAAATATGCGCTGATTGCAATAGTCGAGCGGGCGTTAGGCACAGCTGTGTTCGGATTGTGGCTAGCCAATTATGATAGACAATCTGTGCATTCAGCTGCATTCGACTCTCTAAATTGGCCATGCTGTGCTCACTGCATTTCCTTAAGGCCCCAACCACAGGCCCCTTCGATTTGCCTTTCGATTTCGCCGCGGAAATTATTGCTCTTTGGAATAGGACAACAGTGCAGAAGACCATGTAAATACATTACGCAACCGCAGAAGACGAAATTGACTGTTGCACAATATACACACTCACACACGCACATACAAGATTTTCAATTGTAAAGACAAACCAAACTTGATTGGGATTGGTAGACCAAAATATGAATGTACTTTTCCAATCATATTAGCTTTGAGATGAGATGAGTCTAAGCCAAAAGTACCTTTGACAGTTTGTACAATTTTATTTTCTAAAAGGACTTCTTAAATTTGATTAACTATTTTTCTTTATTACTAAAACCCTTTTAAAATTATTAAAAAATATTTATTTGTCACTCAGATATAGAGACTTCCTGAAGGAGAAGGAGAGAGCAGGCATGGGGTGACTGCCCAGCAAATTCAACAGAAAATATCTTGGTGATAAGGAAATATTTGTAAAAAAATTTACAATGTTTTTTAATGATATAAATAGTGCTTTTTATATAGACTTTTTTATTTTATTATAACTTTTAAACTGTTGTGGAGATTATTTATTATATGTGATGTTCTCAAATATATCCAAAAATTAAGCAAACGAAAAATGATGATGAGATTTCACATTCATATACAGCACATGAAAAGCTTTTTCCACACTAAAATTTCATTCTTCCTTTACAAATTTAATGAAAGCTGAAAACTATTTAGCATGTCAAAATCAATCACTTGACTTTTTGTCAATCACTTAGCATTCGCTTAGCTGTAATTGTCACATGAGCCGCTCGTTATGGCTAGTCGCGCACACTTAAATTGGCTATGCATTTTTTATGAAGCTGCTTCGATTGCGGCAGTTGTGGGACAGTGAACACGCTTGAGTATCGTGACCCAGTTGTCACTTTGCATTGCTATAGGTCAAAGTTAATCGCAATTATTTATCAATTTGCATGCTCGGCATTTGAAAGCCACACAACTCCTGCTCAAGTTCAAGTTGTCTCCTTACTTAGAGTACATTACTTTTCATATTATCTAGAGGCTTACGCCATAGATGCCATCAAAATGTTAATTGATATTGCATTGCAGCTCATCGATTATTAAATATCTCTTGGGACATACAAATATCATAAATTGTATTTGAAAATAAATGGAACCACAGAGAGCAGGAAGTGAACGACTGATGAATACCTTGGATGCAACTAAGGAACTGTTTACTCAGCATTTGTTGTTTTTTATTGCAACATTCTTTGCATTCACACACACACAAAATGAAAACTAATATACCCAATAAATAGTTGGAAAGTAGTGCAGATATAGAACAAGTATAGATGGTCGTAGTAGATAGGAGGAATAATTTTTAAAATTAAATTTGTTGTTCGATAAGTAAAAAATATTTTAAAAATACCTTTAATGCATAAACACTATAAAGAAATAAAAATATATTAATTATGACTTTTAGCTAAGGACACACTGAACATAACAAATTACAAATATTGAATTTGATCTGTTGCTGAGTTTTAAATGACAACCGAAACCTACCTCCAGTCATTGAAAGTTACCCAGGTAAACAGATAATTAACACCAGCTCATTGTTTCATTCACTGTATATACATACATTAACGAAGCCACTCCCTTTAAAAAAAAAACCAATCAACCTCAATTTATTAACAATTTTCACACCAAAAAATTTCATATTGCATATTCCGTCGTATTTTCAGCGAGGCATTTGACAATTTTAGGATTTTGTCCATTTCGCGTTGTAATAATAAATAAATTGCAGCTTAAATAACATAAATTCCAAATGACAGTTAATACGTGGTAAATGCAAAATAAATATGTTTTCGCAGCACCCACACGCGCCGGGTGTACATAAAATTGCGCATACGCCACGCTGCACACGCGCTGCAGTTCTCTGTGCGTGTGAATGTAATAGCTTAAAATGCACAAAATATGTTTGGTTCGACATTATTTTAATAGCACTTAGCTCATGTTGTACACCCACAGGAGAGTTTGTTTTTTCCTCCACTTCGTGGTTTATGTTCTGTCAATTTTTTGATGGCCACTTTGCGACACTTTATACGCCGTTATTTTCGTTTTCAATACTCCATTGGCTTGTTTATGGTAAAACGATTCGACTCCGGAAAGTGGTTTGCCAGCAATAAATATTTGTGTTTCTCCTATATTTTGGGCAGTTGTATGAAACGGATGAGTGTGGAGTGAGCTCAGTGCCTAGCGGCAGTTGTGTTAAATGTGGGTGGTTGCCCTGGGCCTGGACTTTAATTTGATGCAATCTAGCAATGAAGAAGTAGACTATACTTTGAAGCGGAGCTTTGATGAACAAAATTGGCATTTGCAGGCACTGGAGTCTGGTTATGTCAGGGTTTTGAGTTAAGCTAAGATCAGTTTAATTTCTAGGAATGCTCTTACTTAAATATATTCTAAAATATTTATACTTTTTGCCATTATTATATAGCCCAAACTATTGTTAAGTAACCAGTTTATCTGCATATATATTATTACATCACTGTTATGTAGTCGCTTGGCCACTTCTTTCCAGCTTAAGCCGTTTGCTCATTGTACAGCAAAGCAAACCAAAATCCAACTTTTGCAAGCCCTAAACTTTGAGGCCTACAGCTGCATAAGCTTAAAGCATTGACATTTATCAACTAAGCACAAGGTAAGCAGACCAAATGACGCACAGCTGAGCTGACCCTCCTCTGGTTCTTAAGCCAGTAAACAGACGTCAATTGGTACGAGGTATACAAAATATAGCCGCCGTAGCAACCACTGAAGAAGACCCTGAAATTTTGGTATTTGAAAGTCGAATTCGATGGCCATGAATGACATGTTATATCATGTATAAAGGTATGAATCTAGTTGAAACCTTGAACTATTTTCGCTTGACTATATTTTACTTTTTGTATTTCACTTAGAAGTTCAGCTTATATGTATATATATATATTTTTTACTATTTTTCTATATAAATATTATAATATATTTCAATATTCAATATGCATCTTTACATATTTGCTTTAAATACATTTACTTTTAGTAAATTGCCCGGGCAATCAAATACTCATCAGTCCGGTAATTTCTTCAACTTTGACATTCCAGGCAATGGCCGCAGTCCAGGCAAACTGGCTAA